ACCCCACCCCCGCCCTCACCGACCCGCCAGGGCTCCCCCTCCGCCGCTCACCTGACTGCCGCCGTCCTCGCTACATTGTATCCCGCCCACAGCTGTCCTCGCTACATTGTGTCCGGCCGGCCGCCCGCTGCTGCCGCCTGCGGCCCGGAGGCTCATGGCATGCGGAGCCCCGAGTCGGCGCGCGGTCCTCTCCACGTCCCCCTCCGCGAAATGGGTGACACTTTATCTCACGTGTTCAAGATGGTATGGACAGGCCGGGGGCGGGCTGCATTTCCTGGACATTCCCTAATCACAAAAGTCCTGGTTTAAATCCAGTCCAGCCCGGCCGGGCGTGGCTCATGATCTTTATTGATTTCAGAGAGAGGAAGGGAGAGGGAGAGAGAGATGGAAACATCAATGATGAGTCATTGATCGGCTGCCTCCTGCACGCCTCNAGAAATAAACTTCTGTTTAAACCAACTACTATTGGGTGGGGGACTTCTGTCTTTTGCAGCCAAAACAGATCCTAACTGATCACCCCAGCATCCTTATGGTAACAACACAATTGGCCCTATTCAAATCCCAGCTCTGCAAGCACCTCGCTGTGTGACTTTGGGCAAATGCTTAAACCTTTCTTTGCTTTTAACTTCTCATGTTTTAAATGGGGATAATAGTAGTACCCATTGAATAGTGTTATCGTTGAGATTAAATTAGTCAGCCCTGACCGGTTGTCTCAGCGGTTAGAGAGTCGGCCCTTGGACTAAAGGGTCCTGGGTTCTATTCCAGTCAAGGGCACATACCTCGGTTGCAGGCTCGATCCCTGGCCCCAGTCAGGGTGCATGCAGGAGACAACTAGTTGATGTGTCTCTCTCACATCAATGTTTCTCTCTCTCTTTCTCTCTCTCTTCCACTCTGTCTGAAAAGGCAATGGAAAAAATATCCTCGGGTGAGAATTTAAAAAAAAAAAAGATTAAATTAGTTAATACAAAGTTCTGAGCACCCTGGTCAGCACATAGTAAGCATCCAATAAATACTGAGTAAAAGGTATTATTATCATTGTTACTATTAAGAATCAGACAGACCTGATTTAAACTCTGTCTCCCCCAATGGTGAGCCATGTGACTCCACTTTCTTGTCCATAAGTAGGGAAAATGACTATGTCCCTGGGTGGGTGAAAGGACTAAATACTTGCATATGGCAGTGAAGCCCATACCCCAGACTTGGTGCTGAGCAAACTGACACCACCACCATGTGAGGACCAGCCCACCCCCAGGGATCTCTCCCTGGAAACCTCACAGCATTTTAAATTAAGGCCAGAGGATCTCAAAGGCAGGAACTTCAGCTGTTCCCAAAGCTCTCATCCAGCTTCAAGCTCCCCTGGAAAGAGACTCTTTCATTCACCTCCTCATGGGCAGTGCCAGTCCCAGGCCTGGCACAGGGGCCCTGGATAAATAAATGAGTGAGGTTACTTGACCTCTCTCAGCCTCAGTTTCTCTCCTGCGCACTTGGAGAATCATATTTCCCTCCAGGGGCCCAGGGGATGCCAGCTACCCCCACCACTCCACCAAGTGCACCCCACAGAGAGCTCAGCACTCAGAATTCAGGCTTGGCCTCACACAGGAACAGTCAGGATGGCAGAGACTGGGAAGAGTAAAGAAAACTGGCTGTCCCACCCTCTGCCCTCCTCCAGAGACTGCCCCTCCGGTGGGAGGAGAGGGCTCCTTGACTAGCAATTAAAAGAAACCCAGAGAAATAAAACCCAGAGCTCCCGGGGGGCTGAGGTACTGCACACTGAAGCTCAGATGCCCTCCCCACAACCAAACATGTCCTGTCCGCGGCTCAGACCTGTTATCACCCCAGCTCCCACCGGAGGTTCCTAGAATTCTTCCTGGAGAGGGAAGGGGAGACCATACATCCTATCTGCTCATACCCTGAAGGAGGCATGCCAGGATCCTGCAGGGAGCAGGAGCAGGGTTACAGTCCCTTTAAGGATTGTTTGTCACTAAATCCTGGCAGGGTGGCCACAACTTGCCTCAGGGAACCCAGCCACCCCCAAACGGTACCTCTTCCACCTTCACCCAAAACAACAACAGGCATACACTTTGGGGACCCTCACTAACCAGCTCACGTAGGGGCAGGTCTGTTTCATTCCACCACCCCACCCATTTCTTAGGTGAGAAACTGAGGCTTAGAGCAGCCCAGCATCCGCAGAGGATGGCACAACCATGCAGGTCCCCAAGGGCCTCACGAATCCCACAGACAGCGAGTGTTGACAGGCGGAAGCAGTGACAATGTCACTTAGGGGGGACAGTCCCCGCCTGGAATGCTAAACCCTGCCCTAGAGGGGTAAGGGACACCTGAGGCCACCAACGCCCCCTGAACCCTCCTGGGCGCCGGTGGGGGCCTTGGGCAGATCCCTCACCCCCTGCGTCCTCGGTGACCACGTCGGGAAAAGGGGCTGTCCGAGCTCCGGGGCGCGGCAGGCCGAGCGTGCACCCGAGGGCCCGGCGCTCCAGTTCCCTCCACCCTCGGCACCCCACCCCCGCCCTCACCNGATGGAAACATCAATGATGAGTCATTGATCGGCTGCCTCCTGCACGCCTCTGACTGGGGACCGAGCCCACAGCCCGGGCATGCGCCCTGACCTGGAATCGAACCCCGGTCGCCTGGATCCTAGGTCGACGCTCAACCGCTGAGCCACGCCCAGCCGGGCCACAACACTTTTTTAAAAAATTGGTGGTATTTATTTTTCTTAAACCCCAGTGGTTGAGCAGAAGAAAAAAGGAAGAGGGAATCACCGGCAAGCAGCCCCTACACTCGCATGTCCAGCTGCCGCCCCAGGGCGGTATTCACAGCTGTCAATCTACCCCTTTTACAAAGGAGGAAACTGAGACTCAGGGAGGTTGGGGGCGGCTCAATGGAGGATGGGGGCGGAGAGGGGGTGTTGCAGAAGCCGTTGCTTGCAGGCGTGTTCCACTCGCTACCGTCCCTGCTGTGTTTCTCTCTGTAACCCTCATCACTGTCACATTTTTACTCTATTTGTCTGTCTGCACCCTCTCAGCCCAGCACCACCACCAGCAGAAGCTAAGGGCTGCTTGCTTTCTTCACTGCATCTGGGCCTGGAAGAGTGAGCCCAGTAAGTGCTTAGTTCCATGGACTGAGGAAGGAAAGGGTTCCCAACCTGGCTGATGGCCCCCTGCACCAAGGTATGTTAGCGCCAGTTGTTGAGCTGACCCAGGCCTTGGCCGAGGCACCTTGATGCAGTACTGAGGAGACAGACAAGTCCCAGCACTCTGAGCAGAGGTGCAAAGTGATGAGACATGAAGAGCAGAAAATAAACAGGGTGACAAGGTATTGAACAAGGTCAGAGAGGAGGACACTGTGCTCCAGCCAAGACCCACAGGTAAGAAAGAAAGAACCACAGAGGAGCTGGGAGAAAAGGGTCCAGAAGGGGAATCGCAAGTGCAAAGGCCCCGAGGAACCGAAAGAGCCCACTGTGCCTGTGAAACAGAAAGCGGGTCAGTGTGCCGGAGTTCAGTGGAAGGGGAAGTGAGAAGACTGGAGGTGGGCGAGGGGGGAGCCATCTGTGAACACATGGCTTTGATTTGTGGTGAAATAGGAGCCACTGAAAGTTTTATTTTTCTTAGCAGCTTTATTGAAGTATTGTGTACATACATTAAGCTGCACATGTACAAGTGTACAATCTGAAAGCCTTGATGTGCATACACCTGAGAAACTAGGACCATAATTAGGATAGTAAAGCTGTCCTGGCCGGTGCTCAGTTGGTTGGCGCATCCTCCTGTGCACCAAAACGTGGTGGGTTCGATTCCCAGTCAGGGCACTACCTAGGTTTCAGGTTTGACCCCTCGTCGTGGAGTGTATGAGAGGCAACCGATCAATGTTTCTCTCTCTAATAAAAAATAATAATAATTTTAAAAAGATAGTAACACTACCCATCATCCTCAAATGTTTCCTCATGACCTTCTGAAGTCCCCTCTCCCCGTCCCCACCTCTATCCCCAGGCAACCACAGACCTGCTTTCTGTCACTATGTTGCATTTTCTAGAATTTTATAGCTGTGGGTGTCCCCTTATTTCGTATGCCCTGTTATGGTGACTGGTTGGTTTCTCTAAGCATAATTTTTTTATACTCATCCATGTTGTAGCAGGTGTCAATAGTGTTAATATAAGAAATATTTAAACCTGCGAAGAATTTTTGTGAGTTTACTTGAGCCAAACTCTCGACAATTGCTGGGAAGGAGAATCTCAACAGATTGAGATAATGCTCCAGAGAATGATAGTTTTGTACCTTGTTTTATGCATTACAATCAAAAGAGGAGACCTAAGCGGGTGACGGGGTAGATGGTGATCCGTGAGGGAGGTGGGAGACCTCGGGGAGTGGGTGAGATGATGGACACGCTTCTTTTACTTAGGTGGGTGCCGGGTGGTTAACAGGCAACAATTAACATGATAACACTGACGGTGAAGGGTTTGTGGTGCCTGTGCTTTGAGGGGTGGGGGGAGGAAAATGACTTTGTTTTTGCAAAGACATGTTATTGTAGATGCAAAAAGACAATGGACAGGCTCAGTTAAGGTGAAGATTAACCTTTGTCAGGGAAAAGTACTGCCTTAGGACATGACTACCCACCATAAACTGCTTTTATTAAACAGTTTTAATTTCAGACCATCCTTGTGGTTACTTTAGGTCTCTGAGTTTGCAAGGCTGCCACTCAGGCCTCCCCTGAGCTAGTCAGGTGAGCACCTTGCCCCTTTGGGTGCACAGTTAGTTGTATATTCCTTGGTGTGGAGGGGCCACAGTTGGTTTATCCATTCAGCCACTGATGAAGCCTGGGCTGTTTTCAGTGTCTGCTTCAGTTTGCTGGGATAGAGAGTGAGCTCGAATCATGATGCTTCTAACTGCTCTGGGGCAGTGACTGGCATCCTCTCAGCTAAGCGCTTATCACTGGCCCTGTGTGGCGAGCCTGGCGAGCAGCTCTTGTAGATCAGCACAAAGGGGCCCTCTTAGTCCACTCTGGCTGCTATAACTAAGTGCACAGACTGGGTGAATTATAAACAACAGAAATGTATTTCTTACAGTTTGGAGGCTGAAAATACAAAATCAGAGTACCAATGTGGTCAAGGACTGGTGAGGGCCCTCTTTTGGGTTACAGACAGCAGTCTTCTTCCTGTGTCCCCACATGGGGGAAGGGCGGGGGCTCTTTGGGGGCTCTTTTATGAGGCCTTAACTCCATTCTAGTCGCCTCCCACAGGCTCCACCTAGTACCATCACAGTAGGGGTTAGGATTTCAACTTGTGAATGGGGGGTGTGGTGGTGGCACATTCAGTCCACAGCACATACAATGCTGAGAAACTGTTTTTGGAACTGACAGACTGTGAGGTACGTTGTTTGCAGCCACACTCAAAGGTCAAGGTCGGTGGTGTGGGCACCTAAACAGCCATCTCAGACGGGTGAAGAAGAAAAATCAGAATGTATTAAATGGGGATGGGATACTCAAAGGGAAGGCTACACAGCACTGAGCCAAAGGGTATTGGGTCCATGACGGCAGCAAAACAGACGCGGGACAGTGAGGCAAGGACCCCTCCTTGCGCAGACAAGGCAGCAGGAGAGCCGGGCTGGGCTGCTCTGGCCACTGAGAGGTCAGAGGGGGGGGCCTTCGGGGGGTAAACCCGGAAGGAGCTGGGTCTGCCCATTGCTCCCCTGGTTGCACGTCTCCTGGGGTTCCCTCGGAGGGATGGCGATGGTGTTGGCGTGCTCCTCCACTGGGGAGCCTGCACTGGGTCCTTTGTCCTGCGCCGTATTTATCTCTTTTTTGCAGGTGGAAATTTTAGGGGAGGGTCTCAATAGAATATTTATCAGCTTTCCAGGTGAACTCTTATGGGGGTCGCGGTCTCCAATGATTGGTCGGCACCAGGGCAGAGGGTCATTAGTCAATGTAGCTGGTCCTGAGGCAGCCAGGGTGCCCCTTGTCTGGTTTTGCTGCTTTTCTGGGCCTGGAGCTGAAATACAACTGAGGCCTAGATGTTATCTAGGGAGGAAGGCTCAGGGGTCTAAACCGCATGACCAGCGGGATGCTGGGGGAGGACAGGTTACCCTGGGCACAAGGTTCTTGTTTTCCCAGTTTCTCCCCTTGCTAGGCATCTGGAGCTTCCTGCCCTGGTGAGTCTCTGTACCCGGGTTTCTGTACCTGGCCCATCTAACTCATACTAGTGGCAATGAGTGTCTGACTCCTGCCTAGAGTATGAGTCATGTATTCACTTGACCCAGAGAAGGTGTGAGCTCTTGGTGGGGGGTTTCCACACCAACCCCCACATCTACTTTAACTCTGTAGGTGCCCAGGAAATGGGATTCTGGGCAGCTTCAAAGTCCAGGCCTAAGGTGGACATCTTTGCACCCAGCCCATGGTGACACTGCTTCATTTCAATTTTGGCTTACTCTGGCATTCCCTGATTCCCACATAACTTTGTCTCGTTCTCAGTTTGGGAGGGCCCCATCCCACCCCACCCCATCCCACTCCTCACTCTGTTCAGTGACAGTGTGTCTGGTGGTCTCGAGTGGCTGAGCTTTATCAGCACTGGACACCTGTGTGCTCTCCTGTGTTATTCTCTAAGTTTTCAAAGAACTATAAGAACAAAAGCCTTTTCCTTCAAATGAATCTATATGGAACCCCAACTCCTAAAATACAAGCAGGGATTTGTTCTTTGCAGCTGGGAAAGCTCCCTAGAAAGGGGAAGTGACCTGGCCACAAACTGTGGCCCTGCTGCTTGCAGCGGGGCATTCTTGGGTTGTTTCGCCTGTCTGCATGCCTCAGTTTCTTTATCTGTAAGCATCTGCCCGTCAGGGTTGTGATGGAGTGAGAGTTCATCACCGCCTGGTCCACAGGATAGGTCCAGATGTGGTGCCCCAGTGTAGGATTATTGGAATTAGTAACTCAGAAACAATTGCATAGTATTAACATGCCCCCAAGTGGAGCACTGTTAATTGTTCATCTGAAATCCCAGTTTCACTGAGCATCCTGTATTTGCTCTGGCAGCCCTACCCCTGGGTGTGAGGTCATCTTTTAGCCCCCGAGCACTCCCCTGTACTTGGCCAGGCAGAGGGCACAGGGATGGTTGAGGCTGGAGTATGCCCAAGTATGGACACCCAGGCCCTTCACCCAGACTGAAAGGGACAGGTAGACCTGGGCAAAAAAGCCAATGAGTTGGCTGGCCCAAAACACGTGCAATAGGGTCATGCATACTGAATAGGGTCAGGCCTTCTAGGAAGTTCCGCGAGACCAAGCAGCCACTGAGCTGGCTCCTCCTGCCCCACCTGTTCATGTGTCCCAGCAAACAAACTCTCCTTACTAATAATAACAGATACATAGGAGCTGACACTTACAACCCTTATTATGGGCTACATGCTGCTCTAGCCACTTTCCATGTGTGCTCCTGTTTCTTGTTTCCTGTGAACCACTTGGAAACTCAGGGGCGTAAAGCAGCAGAATGCTCTGGGCAGCCATGGGTCAGGATTCATGTCCAGCGCAAGGCTGGCTTGTCTCTGCTCCATGTCTGTGATGTGGGGCGAGGGTGAGAGCTAAATTACTCCTCTTAAGAAAGAGGAATTGGAGACTCTCCCACTGGAGAGGACTCTGGGCAGCAGCAGAGATGTCCTGGGGCTGGAAGTGCCAGATTCCCGCCCTGCCTCCCACAGCCCCGGCAGCAGCCTGCCCTGCACCTTCCTGCCGGAGTTGGGCAGTGGGCCTGGGGGTGAAGGAATGGAAGGATTGGCCTCAAACCAGCTTCTCAAAGGCAGGGTAGCAGAAGGCGGCCAGACTGGTCTGAGATGAGAGCAAAGATGAAGTGTAATTTGGGTCCATTTAAAGCAAAATGGGAGGAGGGGTACACGGCCCTGGGCCAAACACCTGGCTCTGCCACCTGTCAGCTGGCAAATGCCCTCACGTCTCTGAGCCTCCATTTCTTTGCTGTAAAATGTGATAATAATGGGAAGGTTACATGAGAAGAGGGCCCAGGAAAACAGGGGACCTGGGCCCAGCGTGAGCACCGTGGGTGTTAGGAGTGGGAGCACCTTTATCAGCACTGAAGTGTCTCAACTCTTTTTAGGTCACAGAACTCTTAGAGAATCTGCGCTGTGGACACCCCAACTTTGTGGAGGACAGCAGCCCCTTGAAGCCCCCTGGATGTGGCGGAGGAGCCCTTCTGCTGTCCAGCCTCCTTCGCAACATGGTGGTGAGAACCCAGCAGAGGACGCAAATCCTTACCCTCGTGTGGCCTGTCACACACGTCGTAACTCAGCTGCCTGTGTGTGAGGTGCTAAGCACATGTAAAATGCTCAGAGCCGCCTGGCACAGAGCAGGGGTCCAGAAGCATCAGCTCCTAGAATGCACTTCTCTGTGGCTCAGGGCCACGGCCGGAGACTTGGCCTTTTCTGAGCTTCAGTTTCCTGGTCTATATCAGGGCCCTCGGTCCCCTTGGCATCCCTTCTTCCATAGATACCCACATAGAAAAGCCTCTCTTCTGTCAAGGAGGCTGGGTTTGATGACACCCCCTGGCTGAGTAAAGAGGGATCTGGGCCCGGTCCAGCTCTGTGCACACTCACCGAGGGCCCTGGGCACTCAGCATGTTGCTGGGCTTGCATTTCTCTCCCTGTAGAAGGAAGTGGGCAACCAAGTTAGCACCTGAAATGTGCTCATGCAGGGGACACCAGGCACCCTGCAGCTACAGGAAATGACCACCAGGAGGCGGAGCCAACGTCACTCTCTGGCAGCCCCTTCCCAGGGCCAAGCCCCAACCCTTCAACACACATTTTCCCAGGGAGTGTTCAAGGTCCTCCCTTCCTACCTCTCATTTGGATCTTGGGCTCCTGCCTCCAACATACAGCACACAGGTAAACCAGAAAAAAGTTCTGGAATGTGAGTTGCCCTGTAGGACTAGGGAATGTTCCCAAGTCACAGGAAAGCCTGACTTGGGTTCTGAGATGATGCTTCATCCTCAAGAGGCCCATTTTCCCCCCACCACCATTCCTAGGAGTCCTTTGGGGGCTGTGCCTTGAGACACCTGCAGGCTCCAAGCACAGACCTGTCTCAGCCACCAGCCTGGGAGACAGTGGCCTCTTGCCCTGCCCCCACCTGGGCCCATCTGCCCCTCATCAGCCCTCTGGGCCCAACTTTCCAGAATAAAAGGAAATCTCCAGCACCAGGAAAGAGTATCTGACAGCAATAAATTTATTAAGTATCCCCCCAAATATGAACACAAACCAGTTAAAAAAAACAAAAACATAAAACTTCAGGCCCAGAGCTGACAAAGCAGAGACAAATGAGCGACACAAAAATGGAAAGGACCTATGGTGGGAACACAGAGCTGAGTGCTGTAAACACTGAAGGAGAGACACTAGGGAGCCCTAGGGTGATGTGACAGTGGGGTGAGGCTGGGCGGCAACAGGGGCTGCATGGCTCTGGGGACAGACCTCTTGCCCTGGCCCCCCAGCAGCTTCACTTGGGGCCCTGAGCCTCAGACTCCTCCTCATCGTCTTCATACATCTCACCCTCCTCCTCGGCCGTGGCGTCCTGGTACTGCTGGTACTCGGACACCAGGTCGTTCATGTTGCTCTCGGCCTCGGTGAACTCCATCTCGTCCATGCCCTCGCCCGTGTACCAGTGCAGGAAGGCCTTGCGCCGGAACATGGCGGTGAACTGCTCCGAGATGCGCTTGAACAGCTCCTGGATGGCNGAGGAGGGCGGCACCCAGGCCCTCCCCTCTTCCTGGAGCCCCCACTTCCCAGAGGCTAGAAGAGCCTGACAGCCCGTGCCCACCTGGCCCCAACAGGCAGATGCCAATGTTTAGGGAAGGAGCCTGGACAGGCTTCCCTGACACCACTAGGAGCAGGTGGATGGTGGTGGTGATCTCGGGTGGCACCCTGACCTCTTCCTCCCCCCAGGATATGCTGGCTTCATCCCCCAGTTTGCCTGGGTGATGGGGATGAATTACCGCAATGGGGTCACGCAGGCTATGGATGAGTTTGACAAAATCCAGGTAAGAGGACATCAACCCTGGGCCCACTTCTGAGCACCCAGCAAGGTCCACAGGCAGTCTCCAGGCCCGAGCATCCATGCACAGGCACTGGGCTCAGCAGGATTCCCTGGCCCTCTCCCAAGGAGGCTGCCCCCCACCCCAGCCCCACGGCCTTGTGGGTTGTGGGGAGATGACAAAACACCCGAGAATCTCAGCATTAACCACTTCAGCCAATGCCTGCCTGCCAGGACAGTTTGCTGCTGGTTACCTGGTGAAGGCAGCAGACCAGTCACACCTGCCTGTTTCCCCAGTTCCTGTCTAGAAACCCCATCTGTGCCCTGGGCGAGAGGCTGCCCCAAACACACTGGCCCAGCAACACCATCTACAACAGCAAGGGCCTGATACCTTTCTACATGGGGTTCATACCATGTGAGTGCAATCAACATTGTAGGATTCAGGTGGCCCCCCACTCATGCTGCTGCACAGGCACCCCACAAGCTGTATGTCCCTGGGGTCCCCCTGAGATAGGATGTCCAACACCCCCTCTCTCCGTGAGGACTTCTTATACTAAGCCATAGACAGAGACCAGCTGCCTCAAGTTGAAGTTTGCCCTCTGGAGGTTTATGGTGCCCGGGGTGGCTGCGGATGCCTCAGAGCCTGCTGACTCCCACCCCCCAGCAGCCACTGGCCTGTGACAAGCACAGCTCAGCTGCGGCATTGCCCCTTGCAGCCATGCAGGACCACTACGCCATGACGTTCGGCAACAGCACCCGCAAGGCCTACCAGAAAGAACTGGAGAGGAGAAGCCAGACACTATGAAATGCTTTAATGGTGGTGTCTGTACAGCATATGAAGTCAAGACAGGAAGAGAGCAGGTGCACACAGTGAAATAGGGTTATCAGAGGACAGACTGTGAGTGAATAAAGAGTTCTCACGGCTTCCACGCATTCCCGGGTACCAGACACAGCTCTAGGCTACCTCCTCCTCAGCCTCCTCCTCAAACTCGCCCTCCTCCTCGGCCGTGGCGTCCTGGTACTGCTGGTACTCGGACACCAGGTCGTTCATGTTGCTCTCGGCCTCGGTGAACTCCATCTCGTCCATGCCCTCGCCCGTGTACCAGTGCAGGAAGGCCTTGCGCCGGAACATGGCGGTGAACTGCTCCGAGATGCGCTTGAACAGCTCCTGGATGGCCGTGCTGTTGCCGATGAAGGTGGAAGACATCTTGAGCCCGCGCGGCGGGATGTCGCACACGGCCACCTTCACGTTGTTGGGGATCCACTCCACGAAGTAGCTGCTGTTCTTGCTCTGAATGGCCAGCATCTGCTCGTCCACCTCCTTCATGGACATGCGGCCGCGGAAGACAGTGGCCACGGTCAGGTAGCGGCCGTGGCGCGGGTCGCACGCGGCCATCATGTTCTTGGCGTCGAACATCTGCTGGGTGAGCTCGGGCACGGTGAGCGCGCGGTACTGCTGGCTGCCCCGGGCGGTGAGCGGCGCGAAGCCGGGCATGAAGAAGTGCAGGCGCGGGAAGGGCACCATGTTCACCGCCAGCTTGCGCAGGTCGGCGTTCAGCTGGCCGGGAAATCGGAGGGAGGTGGTGACGCCGCTCATGGTGGCCGAGACCAGGTGGTTGAGGTCCCCGTAGGTGGGGGTGGCCAGCTTGAGCGTGCGGAAGCAGATGTCGTAGAGCGCCTCGTTGTCGATGCAGTAGGTCTCGTCCGTGTTCTCCACCAGCTGGTGCACCGAGAGCGTGGCGTTGTAGGGCTCCACCACCGTGTCGGACACCTTGGGCGAGGGNGATGGACAGCGTGGCGTTGTAGGGCTCCACCACCGTGTCGGACACCTTGGGCGAGGGCATCACGCTGAAGGTGTTCATGATGCGGTCAGGGTACTCCTCGCGGATCTTGCTGATGAGCAGCGTGCCCATGCCCGAGCCGGTGCCGCCGCCCAGCGAGTGCGTCAGCTGNGTACTCCTCACGCACCTTGCTGATGAGCAGCGTGCCCATGCCCGAGCCGGTGCCGCCGCCCAGCGAGTGCGTCAGCTGGAAGCCCTGCAGGCAGTCGCAATTCTCACACTCCTTGCGCACCACGTCCAGGACCGAGTCAACTAGTTCAGCACCCTCCGTGTAGTGGCCCTTGGCCCAGTTGTTGCCGGCCCCGCTCTGGCCTGTGTAGGGGTCAGGAGGTGGTACAGACAGGGTCAGACCTTTAGCACTGGAGCATCCCAACCCAAAGGGCAACTGTGGAAACCCTGTGCCTGCCACCCCTCTAGAAAGTGGGGGGCCCACACCTCCCCTCCCCATGGTTCTCCATACCAGCCATGCTGTGTATTGGGGCCCCTGCTGCCCAGCACCATGTGAAGGGCTCTGGTCAGAAATTGAGGACCTGGAGTTGCAGTCCCTGCTCTGTCTTGCTTGGGGGTCCTGGGTGAGTTGATCAGCCCTCCCCTCCAGCCCACCCGTCCTCAGCTGGCAGTGCTGGAAGCACTACAACCCCAGAGTCCCTTGGAGCTTGGGGTCTGGATATGGACTGGTGCCGTTGGGGTGCTGAGCTCTGGAAGGCAGAAGTGGAAGGAGGCCCTGCCACCAGTCATGGGCACAAGTACCACCTGACCTCTGAAACAGTGACAGTGCTCGTGAACTCCAGCCTCTGGAGGCCCACCAGCTTTTCAACGATCCTGCAAGCTAAATTCTGTTTTACAGATAGCTCTGCTCAAAATACAGTGGTTTCTGTTCCCTGCACAGAACCCTTTGTCTGCGTCTCCACTGGGGATCAGAATGGGGATCAGCTCTGCGCTGCAAGGTCATGGAGAGGGATGGCTGTGCCCTTTTGTTCCTGTTGATCTGAGTTTGCCTGTAATGGGTCTGCCATTGGTGTGGGGCAGGGGAAACTTACCAAAGATGAAGTTGTCAGGCCTGAAGAGGTGCCCAAAGGCCCCAGACCGGACGCTATCCATGGTTCCGGGCTCCAGGTCCACCAGGATAGCCCGAGGCACATATTTGTGAGCTGAGGGGAGGAGGGGTGGATCATGTATATTACAGAGGCTCGAGGGCTCTTCTTGCCCTCTAAATCCTGCCCCAGGTTTCAAGCCTTGTGCTCTGACCCTGAAAGCTTAGACTTTGGGTCAGAGAGACTGGAATCAAGTGTGATATGGGGACTGACACCCTGGAGAGCCCTCACCAAATGTCTCCAATTCAACACGGACATCATTCTACACCAGATGCTAAATATCCCCTGCCTGAGCGCTCCATGTGACCCTTGCTCTGGACCCCCAGAAAGACTGAGGGGACCCTCAGGACCCTGCCCAGCACCGTCTGTTCCTCTGGACTGTGCACATGTCTTGTGGCCAAGACCATGCTTGAATCACACTGTGGTGAGAGTCTCAGGTTACACCTGCCAGCCCAGCAATGGGAGGGCAGATCCAGGGAGACCAGCACAGGTGTCCTCTCATCCCCCAGGGAAGGGTAGGGGTGCTCACAGGAGGCCTCGTTGTAGTAGACACTGATGCGCTCCAGCTGTAGGTCGGAGTCCCCCACATAGTTGCCACTGGGGTCTATACCGTGCTCATCGCTGATGACCTCCCAGAACTGCAGGGGAAACAGAGGGGTCAGCAGGTGGCAGTGATGGGGCTTGGACCCAAAGCCTGCACTAGGCCCTTGGGGAGACTTTGGAAAGAGTCCCAAGCTCTCGTTTGTCAGAAATTTGTAACAAACACCACATGCACCATTTGCATGTCCATGATTACCAGAGCCTTCAGGGTGATTCAAGGCTCAGCTGACACAGATCCAGCTCTGCATTTGCTGGCCAGAGTTAGTATTAAACACCCTTTTTGGGTGGTTCTTATTATTCCATTTTCAAAAGAGGAGACTGAGGCACAGGAAAGGGGACAGAATCCAAGATGCTCATGCACCTCAGTGACAGGGCAGAGGATGCCCAGTGACAGGGTCCAGCAGTGTCCGGCACACAGTCAGCCTCAGCCACAGGAATCACAGGGGCCCCTAGTAGGGAGTGACTTGTCCAGGGTCGCCCAGCCTGCCCACACACAGCTGGTACTACCTTGGGGCTCATGCTCCCCCTTGGGCAGGAACCCACAGCACTTCTCACACTCTGCTCCCCTGACTGCAGGACCTGGACTCAGGAGCTGGACTACCCCTTCCCAGCTGGTGACCTTGGGTAGGTCCCAAAGATGCTCTGTGCCTCAGTGTCCTCATCTGTTCAATGGGCCTGATGATGAAAACAGGTTGCTATGAGAATAGTTATTTGTGGCAGCATGTGACAGTGTGTGGTGAAGGCTGAGTGCTGTGTGGAATTATCAGCATGTGTGTCCACACAAGGACAAATACCCTGGCTGCACAGAGCTCCCTCTACCCAGGGGCACTTCCAGTTGGCCCATGTAGGCAGGAGGTCATTGGTCACATGCTGTATGACTTCCCCGTGCCCCACCCTTTTGCTCCTCAGGGTTGGGGTGGCTTTCAGAAGATGAATGGGTATGAAGTTCTCGAGAAAAAACAGCCCTACATAGGAGTCATGTGCTGGTGAAAAGACTGCCCAGTTAAAAAATTAGTTATAAAACAGTTTGTATGTGCGTATCTATGCATAGATGCCTCTGACAGACACATAGACACAGCTGTGCCTGGGCATGTGTTCCTGGGTTGGGGGAGAGACCTCTTTTCACAGCATGCTCTTTGGTTCTTTTTGAATTCTGTTACGTGCACATATTAACTTCACATGCAAAAAAAAAATTTAAAGATAAAATTGTTTAAAAACCTGAAAAGTATGAACAGTGTCATTATTATAAAATGTATACAAGCATCTTGGCAATTCAGAGAGACTGTTATCAGAGGCCAGAACTCACCTCTGAGGGATACAGGGGCTGGACTCCTTCCCCCTTTTGTGTATTTTTGTCACTGGTAAATTCTTTTTCTTTTTTTTTTGCATTGTGTATTAATTTTGTAATTAGAAAATAAACACAAAGAGATGTCACTGAGGCATTCAGACTGCTCAGAGCTTCCTATCACTGCTTGGCTCCCCATGCCCTCCTTCACCCCAAAGCTATGCAAGAGGCTGAGCCCAGGCCTTGGTCCCCAAGAGCCCTGGGACACCCCAAACCTCTCGCTTCAGGGACACCCACAGCCTCCAGAGAGGAGGGATGATCTCAAGAGGGCAAGTGTGGGGCCAGAGAGAGTCATTCAGTCACTGGGACACCAACACATCTACGGAAAGCACGGTCTTCCAGGAGGTAATGGACCAGAGTGGGTGCAGATCCCAGTACCATCTAGTGTCTGGCAGTCACTCCACCTCTTGGGAGGGACCTCAGCTTTCTCATCTATGAAGTAGAAAAGATAATAGTACCCACATCAAGTGGTTAGCACAAGGCCCTGGCACATAAAAGCATTCAGCAAATGTTGGCTTTGTTGAGCTAAAAAGTCTTAGACGCTATTTATATTGGTAAAGCCATATGCATGGATAACCTAAATAAAAATAAAACATAGTTTTAAAATATCCATATGCTTTGGAGTACTGTGGCACAGTAAAAGATCACCACTGATAGATCTCCAAGACATATCCTTGAGGGAAAAGGCACACTCAGCAGTGACCGAGTGAAAAGGAAACCACACAACGATGCCATATTTTCCACAAAGATCTAGATGCCCACGCACTGATCAGGGACTGGAACAATGAAAAACTGTCCCGCTGGAGGGGGGTCTAGAGGTTAAATGAGCATAGCCTTACCTGCAATGTTTCCATTTTTAAAGAGGGGATACATTAGTAACTGCTTTTGTAGTTAAAACTAATAAAGATTATAATTTGAAATATATAGATCTTATTAGCAAATTAGATTGTGTAACATTTAATAAAGAATAAAATACAGTTTTGTAAATTAAATAAGAAATAATTAAGGTCTCACTGCAGATGAGAAAGCTGCCAGGTGGCCGTGGACCCCAGGGTCCAGGCCAGGTCTCCTGTGTCACACCCCGTGTTTTGGGGAGGGAAAGGCCCGGGCTGCGCCGCTGTCCGTGGTGCTGACCGCTTGCCGCGCCGCCCAGGGGCTCAGGGCTGGAGGCAGCGGGCGGGCACAGGAGCCCAAGGCAAGTAGGATGCAGCACCCGCCGGAGGAAGGATTGGCCGGCTCAGGGGTCTAAAGCCCCTCCAAGGCCCCAGGCTTTGCCCCGTCCCGCACGGCGAGCGCCACAGTGACCAATCAGGGAGGAAACGGGAGCCCCCTCGGGTGCGTTGCCAGCGCCCCTCCCCTCCGCGGCCCCGCCCTGAGGCCGAGAGCAGCGGCCCAGACAAAGGCTCGGCGGCCCTGCCTCCGGAGGGCAGGAGGGGAGGGTCTCTGGGCTCCTCGCCCCGCGGCGTGGGGCGGTGCCCCGTGCGCCCTGACGCAGCCACGCAGACAGAGTCCAACTCCCGCCGCGTCCCTGGAGCGCGGGGCTCTCGTCCCCGAGACGCG